CTTAATTAAAGAATTATATTGTATTCATTGCATTACAATTCATTGTTATTTCATAAAGCATGATTGAAATCCGCCCAGGTGTTCTGGAGTTTAGCAAACATAAATTGTTTTGATAAAGGTTTGGTCTGACTTCAGGTCAGTCGGGAAAACCAGCTGGAAGATCAATTTATGGACATCTGGTTTGAACCGTAAGAAGAAGAGAAGGTCTACCTCCAGCTCCTGAACCCCCTGAAGATGCTCCCTCTGGCTGTCTGAGGCGGCAGTCAGGCCTAGCGCCCAGGACATCATCTGGACCAGAACCTTTCTGTGGGCGGCTTTAGTTGGATCATGTAGAGCTTTGTGTATCAGGCCTCCATCCAGACTCTGAACTCCTCCCAGCAGCTTCTCCTACAGGTTGGAGCAGAAACAGGCAGTGATGAAGAAGAACAGAATTCACCAGTTTGTTCTTCAAGGCTGGATCTTCTCTGCATTTTAACATAATTAATGTGAAATTGAGGGACAGTTTTTTTGTTTTTCAGCTTGACCCGGTGAGATCAGGTTTGGTTTGTTTTGCTGTCACATTATTAAAGAGGGCCGCTAAAGAAACCAGCTTCCACTGTAGCTTATCTATTAAGAGCAGAAATAAAGCCTGGTTCTGCTGGAGGTTTCTTCCTGTTAAAAGGGAGTTTTTCCTCTCCACAGTCGCTACAAGCATGCTTAGTGTGAGGGATTGTATTTGAGTCAATGAGTCGATGCAATCAGCTGGTTTTCCTTAGATAGAAAACTTTAAATCAATGTGACTGGATGATCTGGTTGAACTGTAAAATGACCCAAGTTGTGAATTGGTGCTCTAGAAATAAACTGAATTGAATTGAATTCTGAGTGAAGTGGCTGCTGGGCCTATTCCTTCCTCCATCACTTGGGAGCAGCAGTATTCATCTAGGTGTACATGTGAGCTCACCTTAACCTGCAGAACTTTGCTCTGACTGATGCCTTTTGGTCCATGACTCCTGCTGTTGGTCCCTCCGCTGTCTTTGAGCGAAGCTCCGAAGACGAGACTGTAGACCTACAGCAGACAAACAAGCGGTCTGACTGTTAACAATAAGATGACTCTTCATCCTAATGGCCAGAACTCCCATCAGTACAGGTGATTGGCCTGGGCCCCTGTCCAGACTTGTGGAAACAGGAGCAGGTCGTATTTATTTCTCATCGGTGGTTTTATTTTATAGTTTTTCTTTAATCAGAAAGGGAATGAAATGCTATGGACTTCTTTAATTGAATGTATTAACTCAACACTAGAATTCCCCCATTGTAGGACAATAAAGGGATTTCTATTCTAACATTTAGTGGAACGTTAAAGTTCTAATAGATAAATTATCTTCTGTTGATTTAACAATTACCCACCACCCCCCAGCCAAAATAAAGTACTGATGAATGTCCAAAAGTGGAACGTACAAAACTAATTATATAGAGCCCCAGTTGGCCTCAGCAGATGGCCGCCACACTGACCCTGGTTCTGCT